TTATATACGGAGTATAAACAAAGCAAGAAATTCGAATATAACCTAAGACCACTTATAATGAGTACTTGGCAATACTCAAAACAGTGTTGTATGGTCAGCCAAATTTTATTAAATTAAATAAAATTTTTTTCATTGTCTTTTCTTTGCTATTCGAATCTGTCTACAAATTGTTATATTTTTTGAAATTTCAAAGATACAAATATGTAAAAGGTACTTATAGTAATACTTATAGGATTTTTTATATGAGTAACTATGGTAAGACATTAAAAATCCTTTATTAATACTAAATATGTTAATATACACATTTCCTGTATTTTTATATTTTTCAGATTTTTCTCTCTATTTTTTACAGTATACCAATTCCCATTTCAACCTTTATGCTTTCGATTTTTAGATGCTGTAGACTGGCACTTTAACTTTAGTTTTTATTAGTGTTTAGATTTATGATATGATCAAGTAGTAACTGCAATTTAGAAAGAAGTGACGGAGTTTATTTTATTATTCTTATAATTCTAATTCATTATGGGTATAAATTCTATTTCTTAGAGCAATTTAAATACAATAAGCAGTTTTAATACTTGATTTAATTATTTAAGTAAAAATTGTTGAATTTTTTTAATATTTAATACATTTATATTAAAGAATCATATTTAAATCCTAAAGTATCATTTTCGTAACTCTTTACAATTAAACAGAATGCTCAGACAATCAACATGATATATCTTATCAACATTTTCTTTTCTCAAATATTTATTTATTCTATTTTAAAGATAAACAAACAACTAAATTATTTAATTTTTAATTTTGAAATATTTGAACAAATATCAGCTAATATGAATACACTATATACGTGTACACTATCCGTTGACGTCGTTGTGACATAATGAAATTTTTAATACGTAGGCTACGAGTTGGTAACAGATTTCTTATTACCGTATTCAGATTCAATGGTACTATGTATGTGTGTTATAATTGTTATTAAAATAAAAAAAAATAAAGCATAAATTAATAATATTAATATATAAACTATGAATATTTTAATAAATTTTTGCTAAATCGAATGCATTGTTTTTATTGTGTGTATGTAAATAAAAATGAAATTAAGTAGTATATGGCAATGACAATTCTTAATTTATGACTTTTTAATTTGTATGCAAATATTTGAAAATTTAAAAAAAAAACTGTGCTCATTTATGGAAATATTTTCACAATCAAGCACGCATTTGTGAAACAAATTCTAAACAAATACTCTCTACTTGGTTCTTTCAATAACTGCCTTTATGAAGCCACAACTAAAGCTGAATAATCCATAACAATTATAAAAACAAAATAAAGGAATCTAGAATGCATTTATTTGCAATACAACAAATATGCAATACTTATGCGCTTAAAAACTTTTTACATGTCCCTCAAGTCCCTCTTGGCACATTTGAAAACTGCTACATACCCTGGCTCTTTGCAAACATGCTCACAAACCCGCTCGTCCTGCGTAAGTGCAGTTTGGGTGCGTTTTGCATTGTAAATTTGCAACATGCAATGGCAATAATAACGAGTAAAAACCGCAAAATGTCATGCAATAAAAGGTAAATGTTTCATATTTATTAGTTTTTACACAATAAGTAATAAATAACAAGAGGAAATACATTGCCATATTAAAATAAAAACAAAATATTATTGCAAAAATTTAAATGTAAATATGAATGTGTGTGAACATGTATTATTTGTATTATTGGCACTTTACATGCTCAGCAATGAAGATTCATTCATTTGCATTTTAATGGCTTTCAATTTAAAGTTTCGCACAGAATAAAGGAAATTAAGTAAAATTATGCATTTTAAATTACTGGTGTGCAAGAGTTTATAATTTCGTTACACGTTATTGGTTTGATGTGCATAAACGGAAACTAATTTCACAAAACTTACCGGAAATATACACCGGGCGTACGTTGGTCGATATCAGTTGCGTAGATGCGTCCGACACGACACTTCGAAAACCAAATACCAATGAAGGATGGATCATTCTTTTTAGGCCAATCTTTAACGGGGAATACCAAAGGATATGTCAAGTATTCTGGTGGATCTGAGAACTCCAAATAACCATTAAGTGATAGCTGCAATAAAAAAAGTCATTTATATATTTTAATTTATATTATTTATGATTATTTATATTTTATTTAAATTGAACTTACTCGTGTGTAATTGAAACGGAAACCAAAGAACGGCAGCTGGAAATTCAAGTTTTTGTGTATTTGTGTCATTGAAGCGTGTATATCAAATTGATAGTCGCCACGTCCGCCATACATATCCTGATCGAAATACCAATACATGAAGTAAGAACGTATTTCCGCTAACCGTGCCTGAGATATCGTATAACCACCAGCAGCATGTGAGGGCATAACGGGTGGTGCAATTGGATTATCAGGTGCTGTGAAAAAAAGGACATGTAAACGTCTATAAATTTTAAATACAAAATTTTTAAAATCCTTAAAAAATGTTTATTAAATTTAATAAATTTTTAAATAAATAAATGTAAATTAAATAAATTTATTTAATTGTGTAATAATCATTATTAAGAGGTTAGTAAAAAATTTATTTTGTTTTGACATAATAAAATATAATATTTAGAGTAAAATTAAGCTGTATTTATAAGTATTTTTATTCTAATTCAATTTTAATACAATTTAAGCTCTTAATGCAGCTATGATATATGTAATAATCAATAGGTCATTTTTATTTTACTTTGCCAGTTACGAAAAACTTCATTCAATGATTATTAGAGTAATACATTAACATATATCACTTCAATAAACTTTTTTTTTCTACTGTCTAAAAATATTATATGTATCCTTTATACATCATCGACTTCACTGCACCCAACTTCCTTTTAAAATTTTTACTCCTTTCATATACAAAAATTCATTGAAATCTTTGAAGTGGACCTCTGTTTCGGCGACTACTACTTTATTCAAAACAAATTTCGTTTCTTATGGCATTCTTTTAGAGATTTGCAAGTTACTATTATATGCTGAGGACTAGATCTCGAGAATTCGATACATCAATAAGCAATTCATAAAACAATTCAATTCATAAAACAATTTGGCTATTGTTATCATCAAATTGGGACACGAAAAAAAAATTTTTTTATGTGTATATATTCTCATTCTGAATGTAGCAATAATACTATATAGTATTTGATACTAAAATTTTTATCCTTTTCAGCGTATATAATATTTGAATGTTGTGGAATGCACTTTTTAGTCGAGTGTTTCGCTTTCATTGGATTTCTCTTATTGCTGTCCTCTCAGTTAATTCCCGATTTACTACTCCCGAATTAATGCCAAACCTAAATATTGGTGTAGTGTCTTTTTTTTGAATTAACAATTTAAGGTCAATTGCTTGACAATTTTTTGAATTTTGTTATGTTTATGTGATACCTAAAGACATTGAGTGTCATTTATATCTGCACGACTTTGTTCAAGTTAAGTTCAATAAAACAATAAGTCATTCTTTTGCTTCAAGAATATTTTTATTTGTCAAAAGCTAACTCTTAATATAAGTATAAAAGCATCACTATTTTTTTTTTGAAAATTAGTGACTTTTGCTGTCAACTAATTGCTGAGTTACGGTAAGACTTTGACACATACTTTATTAGTGAGAGGTAGCTTTTCTCTAAAAACCTCCCATATACATCTATTCAATTATGCAATGATATGAAATAAAGTAATTAAATATAACTAATATATTGAACCAACAATTTTATATCGCAGCACAAAAGATTAACCATGGTTGCAGTGCTCCGCTCCGTTGGGAGCTGGTACCCCGTTTATTCCTATTCCAAAAGATTAACAATGGTCGCAGTGCTCCGCTCCATTGGGAGCTGGGTTTATTCCCATTCCTATTTCGGTTTTTATTTTAATTTTGTATAAAATATTTTATTACATTGTATTAAGTATTGTTTTATAATAGATATTATTAATTTATTTATATATTCTTTAAGTACACACATCAATTTTCAACTACTTCCACTTACACTCATAAAAGTTCTACCAGAAAATCTCTATTAAATTAAATTCACATTAATAATTAAGTCAATTTTAAAGAGCTAATTTGATTTTAATTAATTTTATCCAAAATCAGTTCAAATTAATTTTCTACTTATAACATTTAAACTTACCAATTGACATTGATTGATAAATATTTTGCCTATTGATGTAGAAAAATACCAGAGTTAAAAGGCTGACACAAAAATTTTATAAATTTTTTTAAACGATATATGGTATACATATATATATATGTACATTTACTGTCATAAGTGCAGTAGAGAAAATCGCCAACTAAGCACAATCCACATTTTACTGCCACTAAATCAGCATAATTATAAATTCTCTATTTAATGCACTTAATCCGGTGATTTGGTTTCAATTTTGTATCTGCCTATGTACTTTTAATGTAAACCACAATATATAGTCGAATTTAATTTCTATAAAATCCAATTTGCATATTCAAAGCACCTGCGTTTCGATTAAGTAACGTTGGGTGGAAGGATAGAAAAACAGCAGGCAAAAATATTTCAAATGCTGTGTATTTTATATTGATATATATTATATGAATAATACTTTACATACAAAAAGTAATTAAATGAATATTACAAATATTTTGCATTAATGTAATCGGCCAAAAATTAATTTCTATTAGCACCAAATCTATTTTTCTTAATCTATTTTATATTCTATTTTTCTTTCTATTAGCACCAAAACCAGATCTATTTTCTTAACTGTAATATATCATGTCCAAATAATACATTGAAATGATATAGATTTGAAGTCAGTAACGGTAAAAACGGAAGTACAAAATAAAGACATTTCTACTTTAATACACAATTGATCTAATTAGATCATAGTGCTTTGTGGTCTTCAATATTTAATACTTTGATACTTAGCAGCAATATGGTAGTGCTGCTTAAACTGTAGAATCATAATGGTGCCATTGATATTTATCATGTGAGAATCTACAAAGTAATACAACGATTTACTTGTTTTTATAAACTATAAATACCTATAATATATAGTATTAATATAATAGTACTAAACATAAATATATTTAAGAAAAATTGAGTCCAATTTCATTTTGAAAGCATTAGAAAAAATGGGGCTCGAAACCCTGTTCCTTTATTATTATTTTTTTTTATAAATGAGCTAAAAATAATTTTAACTCAAAAAAACTTTAAAAACTTAGAATTATTATTAGAATAATAATATTCGTATATTTTTGCAAAAGCAAGTAAAATTGTATAAATATTTATACTATTCAAATACTATTCAAATGATATGTATGTTTTCTATGCCTACGTATTTTAGGATAATTAACCAAGTTATTTAAGATTAATTCTTAACAACAACAAAGCGAACAAGCAAAACAGCGAATATGGAAGCGAATATGGTAGTTGCAAACCACTGCTTGGTAAGTACTCTCCGTTACCAATTGTGATTAATTTGTGACCAGAGCAACAAAACTGGCTTACACCTAAGATATATAAAATCAACAATTTATTTTTGTATAAAACATATAAGACTTGGACTCTAACAACTGGTTTTCGAAATTAACAACCCCGAGTTACAGACCAATGAGTTGCTATCTCGGTCAGTATGCCAAATCGTGGGTACTCTCTCATTTTTCTAGGAACGTAATTTTAAAATCTTTAAGCAATATTTATATCATCCAAACAAAATAAAATACAAAATAAAATACATCTTACATTATTTCTCAAACGAATAAAAAAAAGTTCAATTATTGTGGGAGTTTCATTTCATAGTTCCAATGATGTTGCTTTAACATTTGGGTGTTAAAAAAGGTTTAAAATATTGAAAATTGCATTCATCATACATTTTCTCTTAATTATAGAACTCTTTTCTGAATAATTATATTTTCTGTATGAATAATAAATTCTATGAAATCGTCAATTGTAATCATAGAAAATAAAATAGATAGATTTAAAATAGATAGATTGTATTCAAGATCTTAATCTTAATTATCTCATTCGAATGATGTAATTACAATAAAATGCCATTATTTATAAATTCAAGTGTTATTTTTATTTGAAGAAAAGTAATGTACATTATGGTATGCTTGATACCTTCAAAGTATTACATTATGGTATACAAAAGGTTACATATTTAAATTATTCCACATTATTACACATAGGTTGTTTATAGATGTTGCTTTATAGATGCACATAAATGTCAAAAGTTTTTAATTACATTCTTTGAGTCTTAAACAATTGTTAACGTGTTTAAACCATCGAAATCCGGCTGTATTATATCTTCAGCTCTACACATTTGTCTTCAAAGATTTGTATTATAGCACTGCATAATAAACTATAATGTAAAGACATTATAGTTTATTCACTTCTGTTACATATTCTGAAAAATGGACTGTTCAGTTCAAGTTGCTTAATTTTTTTTTCATTATTTTATAGTTCCATAAATTATTAATTAAGTTCTTTAACTTAAAACCATTAGTGTTTTTAAGCCATCGAAATGCGTCTTTCATACTCAGCTACTCTGAGTCTAACGGGAACAACTAAATCAAGATCCTCCATAGCTGCATGCATTTGAGGTTTTGCTCCATTGATACTCTGTACAGTATTCAAACGTTTGGTTGAGCTCTTCGTTGGATTTCTCATTCCATTAATGAAAGATGAACCAGAAAACTTTTGAGGTGTTGGTGTTTTCATCAAGGGTGTTGATGTTAATTGATCATATGATTGAAAAAAGCTACTCAAGTTATTACTTCCTTCAGGCCGTTTCATTGGAGTATTAATGCGATTGTTATTGACAGCACGAGTGGACCATTCATTTAGTGTTTTATATTTATAATTTCTGGTAGTTTTGGTGAAGTATTATAAAAAAAGACGATTTTATTTTCATGATCTATGGAATTCCATTTTCATTATGTCTTCAGTGTTTTTGCACCGATATGCTGTGAGAAGTACTGTAGCTTGGTGTAGTGATGTTGCTGTTTGCATGAGGGATGACTGATCAGCAAATGAACCAGAATTTCTTTTAGACATTTCCAAAATTTTCTCACGTAATTCCAAAGATGAGTTTGTTTTTACTGCACTAGATTCGTGATGTTGTGCTTTTGCTGTATTGGTGGTACTGGATGAATTATTGCTCATGGCCTTAATTTTAGTGCGAAATCGAACTTTAGGGTTTTCACAAGCTACCATATTTGTTGGAAGATTTCTCTCAAAAACCGCAGGCTGTTTTGGAATTTCTTTATTCTCGTCGATAGTAAACGTGTCATGACCTGTCTGCAAATTATTACCATTATGATCGATATTATCCATATCAACATCCATGTCATCATCATAATCGAGTTCTCTATTTGTTGGCATTTTGTATGAGTAGAATTGAAAATTAAACG